GGCTCTTAAAATATTTTTCAAATCATTTTCTAAATGGAACATTGTACGATTTAATTGTATCTACAAGTTTATTAACTTCTATATGAGTATAAATATAACATTTTCGAAAAAAAATTTCAAAGCATGAATGCGTTTCAAGAATTTTTATTGAACAGGAAATTGCAGTTGAAGGTTACTTACAGCTTTAGGAAAAAAAATATAGTCTTTCATGAAAGTCTCATTAATAAACTTTTCCAAATGAGAAAAATTTTGCAAAGTAGAAAAAATACTCTATTTCTAATTTTTGAAATCTATAAACATAAATAAAGTATTCAGTATTTGTTTAAAATCTGTTTAAATAATTAAAATTAAATTGTTTAAACAATAATTTTATTTTTAATCTAAAGTTCGTATTTATGGCCATGAAGTTTTGTAAATTGCAAAATTAGAAAAAAAACTGCATCTTTCTAGATGTATTCTGTAAAAATTTGGTAAATAACAATAATCTGTTTAAAGCTTGTTTAAATAATAATCATGTTTTAAATGTGCATCGATATTTTTTAAATAAATTTCAGTAAATTTCAAAATTAGGAAAAGAATGCATCTTTCTAGGTAAATTCAGTAAAAAGTTAGAAATTAAGGATAATAATTTGTTTAAACAAATAAAAATTTTAAAGTTCACAATATTCTTACAAATTTATTGTTATTAAAAGCAAAAAATGTCACTTTTCAAAAAAATGTTTATTTAAATATTATTTTTTAATTTGTTTGTCTAAAAAAATATTTTTTCGAAGAAATTTTTTTCCCCAATTGTTAATAAATAATAAACAATAATTGATAGATTAATTAAATTTCGTTCATTTTTCTTAGAGATATAGCATTTTCAAAATATTATTATTATTATATTTTTATTTATTTATTTATGTTTTATTAATTTTGCTTTTTTATCATTTTTCCTTTTATTCTTTTGTTTTTTATTTTATCCTTTTTTTCCTTTTTCTTTTAATTACGTTTCAAAATTTATTTGTTTAAATTATTATCCCAATCAAAAATTGCACATATGTACATATAAAAATGTCGAAAGAGAGATTGTGTCCATATTTTTATAACAACTTCAATGTAAAAGAAGATAAAATTGTTTTCGAAATTAAATTTCCTTATTGAAGGATACACTTCTTTTCTGACTTTTCTTTCTTCTTCTTTTTTTTCTATAATTAACATATAATAAAATTCGAGTATTTTGCAATTGACATTTAGAACATTGCTCTATGGACACCGCCACTATATTGTATATGGTTTTTTATTCCCCTTATAATAATGTGCAAATGAGTTTGCAAAAAATGTGCATTTTAATTTACATTCTACAATGAAGAACATAGTATAACTCCTAATGTAATATATAGTAAAAACATTATCTATGTGAAAATATCTCGCGAAACGATGTTGATAAACACATTTAAGAAATCTCTTTTAATTAACAATTATTATTTTAAACAAACTTTTCTTTCTTTTCCAAGTAACAAAAAATTGGATAGATTTATTTCTTCATTGTAAATACAAATTATAAAACATACGAAATTTTTTTTTCCTTCATCTTTACAATGTATAGAAATAATAACTTAGTTTAGACAACTTTTAGGTATAAAAGATTAATAAAAGCGATAAAAATTAAATATTACGATAATAATGAAAATAATAATTGTTATGCAGTAATAAAAATAATAAATATAAAATAATAATAATAAAAGCAAATATATAGTAATATTACAAATAATAATACACTGAAGAAAATTTAATTGATTCAAATAAATGATTATACTTGTCTTTTATAAAATAAATATGTATTTGTGTCAAATAATTTTTATTTAAGTTAATAGAATGGTATTTTCTTCAATTACTGAAATTATCGGTCTGAGTACAATTTATTTGATTCAAGTACTTAAATATTTATTTAATAATAGTAAATCGGTTTTTTTAAACCAACTACATTTTTCTTATTCAATTTGTTTCCATTCAATAATAAATAATTTAAATAATAATAATAATAATAATAATAATAATAATAAAAATAATAATATTTAGAATAATTATAATGAAAAAATAAATAATAATAATTCTCGCGGTGAAATACTAAGAAGCAATAATTAATGTCATTAAAAGCAATTCACATTTAACAGAGTATTTTATTTAATTGAAGTGAATTAATTTCAGACTAATAACCATACATCTATTTTCATCGAATAATAAACGGCATACATAAGAAAAAAAATAGTAAGATTAAAAAAAAATAAAATATTAGAATAACGTATATAATATAATAGTATCGGCTGCGTGTTAAGCAGGAAAAATACTTATGAAAGAGGATACGCTTGTTTGATATGCTAATTACAATCATGCAAATTTTCTAATTGGATAATTATTTTATAATACTTATCAAATATGCGAAAGTGTTGAATGCGGATATAAAAGTTTGAAATAATAAAATATTGATCTATTCGTGATTAGGTAAAATTTCTAGTTTCTGATCTATTTCGCAATATTTCATTATACATCCGCACGCGTTAATGCTTTCACTGACTTGCGCTTCTTCCTCATTTTCATGATTAGATTATTTTATTATTAACCGCAATCTATATTATGAAAAATTATATTATACGCAAAAGTTATTACTTCACTGAATGCAAAATTATCGGAAAATAATATTTTGGCATTCCCTCCTTATTTTTGTTATATATTATTTTTATTGTTATGTATGTATATTAATAATTATTTTTATTGAATTTTTAAATTATTTCTATTAACCGTCACCTTAAATTTAGTGTTCGTCACATAAGTAATTATAAAATTTTAAATAATTATTATTTAAATTTATTATTAGAATAAAATAATTGTCCACAATTAAAAATACTATCAATAGCAATATTTTAAAAATATTTTTTTATTTTTGGCTAAATTGAAGGTTCTTAAGACAGTGACAATAACTACAGTACTTATTGTAATAAAAGTAATGATAATAAAATAAATTATTTAAATTAATAGATTTTAGAAAATTATTAGGCTATCAAAGTTTCTGTTCGTCTTTCATCAAGTTTTTATTAATAATATATCTTTAATATGTATACTCTGAAAAAAATTTGTTTGATTCAAATAATCGATAACTTTTCTATTATCAAATAAATTTTATTCATAACAAATATTTAGAAATTTAGTTAATACTATAACTATAATCAGTTATAATTATCAGTAATGATAATAATTAATAAGTAATAAAATCAGTAATAAAGAAAAATGAATTAGTAACAATACGCAGACAAACAATAAATCTTGTTGGTCAATTATTATTTTTTTGCCTTCAAACTCATTCGAATTTCAACCAACTTTTTCTCGGATTAAAAATCGTAAAAAATACTATGGAAAAAAGTAATTTGGACCACAATTCCAGAACAATTACTCATTACAAAAAAAAAGAAACCCAACTCTCTTCATTTACAAGTAAACGACGTCACAGTCAAGGAATTCACTTAGCAAATTCGACCTTAGACGAATGCCATTTTCCTCTTTAATACTGCTCTTGTTTCTTCATTTTTTTTTCTTCTTCTTTTTTGCAAAACATTCAAGTTTCAAAGCCAGGAAAAGACGAGATATTGCCTAATCGCAAGTTCTCTGATTTTCTAGGGCCAATAGGTCCAGTTTTCTAAAAAAGGAAATTGCACGCAGCGTTCATTGGTACACACGGCAAGTCATCTGAGATTCAGATCATGCCAAGGTGGCTTTTTCTTAATGACCGTAGCACCAACCTTCATCTTCGTATTAAAACAACACCATTCTCGTGTTCTACATATACTCTCTAAATCAAAATTAGTTAAAAATAACTAATTATCAGTAAAAATATTGACTGACTTTTAGCTTCAGCAATTAGCAAAAAGTAACTATGATTATTAGTAGAAAAAAATTACTATAGCTATAAGTAGCACATCATTTGAGCTTATAGTATTAGGTGAATATTGCATGGAAATATTTCGAATATCACATGGCAATATTCTCAATATTACATGGTATAGTCCTAATATTATATGGCATTATTTCCAGTACTACTCAGCAACGTTGAGGCAATATTTATTATTTGATTATTTGATCCAATTATCTAACTCAGTATTTATTATGTCCATCCTCAGGCAACATTGGTAGGTAATATTGATGCAATATTAAGGAAACATTGCCTCGAAATGTGAAAATATATTAAAACATTGTAATAATGATACAATAATATATATTATATTAATTATTAATATATATATTATTATAAAATTATATATTATATAAATTATAATATTATATTTTCAATATTGCAAGGCAATGTTGTCAATATTGTTTGCAAATGTTGCATCAAAATTGCCTATCAAAGTTGATAATAGTCGGACATAATCAATGTTGACACAATATTAACCTGCTAATTATTGAGCAAATAATTAATAGTTAGATTGAGCTCAAATGATGTGACACTTGAATAAATTGTTAGTAATTCAAATAACTAGTTTTTTATTTATTAGCTGACCAGCTAGCAAATTTTTCAATTAGTTACAAAAAATTTAAGTTATTTTCCCAAAAACGAAAAGTAAATTTAAATAATAATTAGTCGTTATTAACTAATTTGTAACAGTCGAGTAGTAATAGTATGGAAATATAACTAATATTTGAATGAGTGATTGACTTTTTACCATCAAATTAGTTATTTTCAACTAATTCAAAATTTACACAGTGCAGCTAATGAAATCTGCGACAAAATAGATATTTGCTCGATGAGAGAATAGTCAAGGTTTTTTAATTTCAAGTCAGTAATTTAAGATTTGGCTCCTGTACCCATAAGTAACACGAGTGGAAATATAAATATCTATATATAATATAGACGTGTGTATTATGAGTGTGTTGCATTAAGGGGTTCGAAAGGGTCCTTCGTTCAAATGGTGAAAGGGGTCCGTATTACGATACAAGTCGCTCGTGTTCTGAACTGGGCCCCCGCCTGATTCTACCTCCCTAGACTTGGGCAGGGCTTACCTATAAAAGCCTACGAGCTGCCCCTCAAAGATGTAGTACTTTACAGTGTATCACACAAGAAAGATCACCATGAAATTCATCGTAAGTTCTCTAATTCAACAAAAACAGGACTCGATAGTATTTCATTTAAAATCATTCATTTACACTTGTGACAATTTTCTATAGTTTTTCATTTATTTCAATTCAATTTTCCACTGCAATTTTTCAATGCAATTTTTCATTTTTATTTTCCGATTCAATTTTCCAATGCAATTTTTCAATTTTCATTTTCAATTCAATTTTTCAAAGCAATTGTTCAATTCCATTTTTCAATTCAATTTTCCAATGCAATTTTTCAATTCAATTGTCTGATACTTATTCACAATTACTCAATTATACTGTACTCTTAATTATTTTTACTATTCACTACATGTTATTCGTTAAAATTGGATTTATTCTCAACAAACATTAAATAAATAATTATTCCTCCACGTGAAGTTGGTTACACTTTCTTTACAATTTTTTCATTCGCCAACTAGTATTCGTTTTAGTAAAAAATATTGTATTACACTTTCATTAAACTGTAACTGATATTCAGTATATATTTATTAAACTACCAAATGTTAATTAGTAAAAAAAAACTTGCATTAAATTAAATAAATAACTGTGTTTTTAGTAAATTTATTATATTTTTAATATATTTTGATATTTATATTATACTTTAAATTATTCAGAAAATATTTACTAAACTACATACTAAGCATTATACTACGTGATTATATTCATTAAACTACGTGATAATATTTATTACACTACTTGATAATATTCACTATACTACATGAGAATATTCAATATACTGCATAATAATTATTGTACTGCATAGTAATTACTATACTGCATATTGATCTTAAAGTACATTAATATTTCTATACTTAAATTACTAAAATAAAAGTGAATCTTTGCCTTCGGTATTGAATTTTATTTGTTTGCATTATTATTCGCGAATTCAGTACACTAACGTTCCTATTTAACAGAAAACAGTCTGCCACTAATAGGCAAACAAAATTTCAGTTACTTTGTCTTTTTAAACTAATTAAATTCAGAAACAATTGTTAATTACCCAAGAAAACAAAGAATACACAGAAACCAACATTAAAAATCAAGTTAAATAACAAAAGCAAAACAAAATGGATATAAATCAACAAATATAAATAAATAAAATTAAGTAAATGAAAATAAATAAATAGATAATAGAGTCAGTTCAAAACATAAAGGATAACATCAGTGCTTAATGTCTAATGACTAAATTAAAATTCTCTAAAAATTTAAAGGAATAATCAGCTAATTAGAATGTTATTTGCAGATCGCTCTTGTCGCCGTGGTGTTGGCCGCCGCCGCCGAAGCTGTAAGTATCGCAATTAAAATTCATAAATGAAATCGAGGAAATTGAATAAACAGAATACTGAATTCGCTTCCTCGAAATGAGGTGCATTGACTTTCGATATTACGTTTCCCGATTGCTCACGGTTTACGTAACATTGCATCAAGTCCATTGAAGACTATATGGATATACTAATCGTCTCGTCGTCATTTGCATTCAATTTGCATTTTGTTCTTTATAACAGTAACTTCTCACATGTTCTACTCACATGTTTTTATATGTTCTACTCATGTTCTAATTTCGTTCTAATTACGTTCCAGTTCTAAATTAACTCAACATCTAAAATGTCTACAGTATATTAAATACCTACTAATTGCTCCGATCGACAATCAGATCATTATCCGTATCAATACAACATCTGAACATTACAACATGTGATCTAATGATTCAATTATTATTGACACAGCATTCAATTATTGTTCGAGAAACACAATAGCATTGTTGTGCTTTCGTACACAATATTATTATGAACAGGCTTCTAATCCAAATCTGAACAATAACCAAAATCATATCTGAATGTGTTGCATTTTTGAAAGAAAATACCTCTTTCAAATTCTTTTTTTCCTTTCGTTACCGTTGACTTTTTAACGATCCCGTTACAGCAAAAGTGAGTGAGAGAGAGAGAGAGAGATCTATTTTACGATCTATTACGAGAATCAGCTACGGATTCTCGCTTCTAAACGTGATTATATATATCCGGTAATGTATCTCAACAAGACTACATAACGTAACAATGCATAATAGCACTCTCGCTTTTATGCGTTCTTTGAAACTCTATTTCATGCCTTCCCTCAACGCTCCAGTAACGAGTATTATATCTATTCTCACAATATGGGGAAGAGTAACTTCAACAACAATTGGAGTGACATCATAAATTCGAGTAACATCATCTATACGCAATGATTATTGTACAAATTTTTAACCCCGTGGAAAAATTAAATCTTCATGTTTATTTCTATACATATAGTCTCCGATAAATGCTTGGCAAGGTGGCTGGCAGGATCCATGGAAAAATAGCGGATGGCAAAATAATGGCTGGCAAAATAGTGGATGGCAAGATCCATGGAAAAATAGTGGTTGGCAGGATCCATGGAAAAGTAGTGGGTGGCAAAATCAGGGCTGGCAAAATCAGGGCTGGCAGCCAAAGGTAAAACGTATTGATTGAGGCACCAAGACATCAGGATTGCCATTTTTTGCAAAAAAGACTCTGAAAACCTTTCTATCGAGTTCTTGTAGATTTATCAAAATTCTCCTCTTTTGAATATATTACTGAAAAGTTCTTGTTTCGATTTCTTACTATTTTGTTCTGTCTTCTACTTCTAATACTTCTTCTAGCTTTACTTCTGTTTCTTCTTCTTCTTGTGTTTCCTGTGATATTTTTCGTCTTATTGACTCTTTAATTTAATCTACTCTTTACTTCTTTTTTTGAAAAGTATTTGATAGTAACACGAACAGCATTTGAGGATATCTAACAGCAGTCTGAGGATATCGGAAAATTATGATATCAGTAGGATGGTCAAGAGACGTTCAGAAGTATCTTGAGGACATCCAGGAGTATCCTAATTTTCGGATATCAAAGGACACCTGTAGGATATCCTAAAATATCCGTTGCCCTGTCGTCTGTATTCTGAAATCCGTTTGGACCCAAAGCGTCGACTTTTCGACTTTGGAACAAAAAAATATCGGGGCTGGCAGCGAAATTTATTTTTGTGTTTGCAGCACGAGTGGCAGGCGAGTTCTCGAGTGCCACCTCGTGCTGCAACCACCAAACCAAACAATATTCGCTTTTAGCCCTTTGTTACTAAATAAACTATTTCTTCTTTTCCCTTCGACTATCATCTAACAAAATTTATTAATTGTTACAGGGCCACCATGAACACTATGTTCACGCCATCCATGTCAACCAACCACCATCAATCCCAGCTCTTCACCCAGAACCCCTTCACTTGAAGGGACATGATCACCCCAACCACATCCACTACTCGGCTCCTCATGTTCATCACCCCCACCTTGTCGGATACGAAGTCCAACATCATCATGAAGAGCCCGAAATCAAGAACGTCAAGCACGGATGGTAAGCAACGGTGTTCTGAGGCGTCATCTTATCAATTGGTCCGTGGTGGTAAATGTCGTTCACCAATCAACTTCAATTGGATAAAATAGAACGATTGGATCGAGTTCCCCAATTAAAGGGAGTGTATAAAATTTGGATACCTGGAACGACAGTGCACGTTAGAACTCGATCCATGACGTTTTCTTTTTCTTTGGCTGATACTCAAGTCAATTCAATTTCTTTTTGGAGACAACGGAAATTAATTCCAAGGACGTCAATAAACAAAGAAGAATCATTGGCAAAAAGAAAAGGCGTCACAGAAAAAAAGCCACCCGGACCACTGACCAGGCATCCGAAATAAAAAATCATTTTTTTTTGAAAAAAATCTATCTTTATCGTATTACCACGTCACATACCCTACAACACTCCCTCCCAACCACCCCTCAAAAAAATTCCCCCCTTTCAATCTTATCAAAACACAGTGTATCTTTCTGTGCGGCATGTGATACTGAAGAAGACATCATAACATCTGAGCCACTGTATATTTTTTTTCTGTTCTTCTGCGCAAACGTTTCACTCCCAAGTCCCTCTCGAACCATACTTTTATTTATTTTCTAATAAAAGTTATTAGTCTTGTGATAAAAAAAACTGTTTTATTCTTTTACCCTGTGTTCCATTTTAAACACTATTAATATTATTAACATTAGCACTAATTAAAATTAATATTTTTAATTAATAATATTCAATAATATTTATTAAGTTCTTTGATGAATCAAATTTTTCTCCAAATTTATAAACAAACTATTAAACAATAATTTAATTAGAATATTGATAGTTGATACCAAATAAAATATTATTCAAACCAAAGTTGATAAATAAGACACTGTATAACATATTTAAGAGACTCATTCAGTGAAATTTAACTATTTAAATGAACATTTATTTATTTATTCATTCAAATTAAACAATTTAAATGGAAAATTTTAAATTATAACAAATTTCGAAGTTTAGTGATTTATTCGTCTGAAATTTATTAAAACTAAATCTATTTTGCTTAGTTTACGTTACTAAATATATTTTATTTATTAATTATAATAATAATTATTATAAATAATGAAGAAACAGATTATAAGTTATCAATAACTAGGAACAATATAAGTTATAAATAAATATTTATAATTTATAATATAAATAAAATATTTATAATTATAAATATTTTATTTATTTATTACTAAATACTATAAACTACATAAATAATTAAAACAATGAGAAAGATAATTCATTTTTGAAAATATGCATTATTACCTAGTGCCAAATTTTTGCAACTTTATTGAAACAGCAAAAGTATTTTATATTTAAAAAACTAATACTTTTTTATTTAATATATTTTAATTTGTTGAATAAAATTAAGAAAATAAATTTCTATATAACAAATTTTAAATAGAGGGATTCAAAAATAATTTTTTTCAAATTATTTAGTTTCCTTTTCAAACAGGAAGCTATATTTTATTATTATAATAACATAATTATTTATAAATAATACCAATTAAAAATATTAAATAAAAAAAATATTTCGATAACTAAATAATATAACAGATAAGTAATAATGAGGTATTATAATAAATGATGACTAACAATTAAAATATTATTATTATTATTATTATATTATTAATATTATTGCGAGACTGGATTAGAAAAATAACTTTAAAAAAATAAATCACCAATTTTGTAACAGATTTAAAATACTTATTCTCTAAATCTTCCGCAAAAAATAAAAATATTACAAATATAAATGTCTCATTATATCTGTCTGCACATTATGGAAATTAAATCAAATCGGTTCAATTTGATTTCTTTAGTAAATTAAAAGACGAATAAGATGCTTTAAGAATCTAAAAAAAGAAAAATTATTATAGAATTATTTATTATTGATATGTTGAAAGACTTCTACAAAGAGAAATTTTAATATTTGTACCTCCACGAAATAAAAAAAATAATGAGACATAATTGCAGACAAGAAATAATATAATTGTTGAGCTTATTCATTTATAATCAATTTTTTATTCGACAGAGAAGAGTGAGTCCGTCTTCGAGTGCACCTTCTTCTTATTAGACTGTCTTACAAGTTAAATTAGAATCAAATAAAGTTTTATATTACTTAGTTGCAAACGTTTTATAATTGATAAATTGCAAATTCATAGTTTTTTAAAATGTTTATTGTCAGAATAATGTTTATTAAATTTTGGTAATTGTCTAATATTTTCATATTTTATAGAAAAAATATCAAATAAAAAATAATAAAATGATTTAGACTTTTGTATAAGGAGCATTCCAGGTGCAATTTTTATTAAAATTTTTTTTTTGTTTGAAACGATTTTTTTTGAATTTTATATGAAAGCTAAGAAAACATGTATTCTTTATTTTTCTATTGGATATAAATTGTAGAAGTTCAATAACAAAATAAATAAATACGTGTTTTCTTATTCTTCATATAGAATTCGAAAAAAAATGTTTCTTTAAAATTCTTTCCAATCCTTAAAAAAATATGTGACGAAGAATCGGAACAAAAGTTAGTTCTGTCATAATTTCGTATTTTATATGAAAATGATAAATTAAATTTCAAATTTGATTTAATGGAAACGCAAAGATTTTAATTTTCAACATTTTAAATTAACATTAAAACAATTAAACGTTTCATTTAATTAAAAATTACAATTTCTGACAATATGAAACGACTTAGGTGCAAATGAAAATTTAAATATTGTTTAAAATGTTGAAAATTAAACTCTTTACGTTTCCACTAAATTAAATTTAAAATTTAATTTATTATTTTCATATAAAACAGGTACAAAATGACATTGGACTAACTGCGTTGTTTTGACTGTACATTAGATTTTTCCTGAATTAAAGTTATTTAAAACATACTTAATTATTTACAGATATATGAAATGAAGTGAAAAAAAATTTAGTTTTAAAGTTTTTCAACAATATTTTTGTGATACCAAAATCGAGAATCGACACTATTTTGAATGAGAATTTAATGAGCTTTATATATTTTTTTAAATTTATCTCAAATTTTTAGAAAAATTTCTATTTGGAATCTAATATTATTCCTAATATCTTAAAACACCTCTCCCTCCCTTAGATTTTTTTTAAACTTAAATGAAAAGAAAGTTTGGCTTTTCTAATATCATTTTTATTTTTGAATCCTCTAAAATGTCCATAGTAAAATACAAAAGGGACAAAAACTTTCTTCAACCTGTTTTCTTCATCAAATTGAAAGATGAATAAGATATCTTGATAATCTGAGAAAAAATTGAAATTATTTATAGGTAATTATTCGACTTAGTAAAATGTGACGCACTTCCAAGAAAGGTACCTCAGAAGCAAACAAATTTTAAGTTAAGTTTCTAATCTTTGAAGTAAAAATACAGAAAGAGAATCAATAATTACTATCACAAATATTATTAAAGTTCAAGTCTTTATTACATCCAAAATATTATATTCAATAAAAACTGGTTTGAAATTTATACATAATTAAAAATTAATTTTTAATTAAGATACCTAAATGTAACACAAACATAATTTATAATTCGTTTCCTTCTTAAGTACTTTTCTTGGGAGCGCGTCAGAAATTCATTATAGTTTTTAGTTTAGAAGTTAGAATTAGGTAAAATTTAATAACCAGTGAGCTGAATGGGACGGTTAGCTCTCATCATTATTAATAGTAATTTCTTTTTTGTTCGTACACTTAATAAACTCCAGTCCATTTGGCATATTTCATCAGCAATAGATAAACTCTACAATATGAAATTTTTATTTTTAACTCAATTATTATATCATATTTGTTTATTAATATAAAATCAAAAATTGATTATATAACCTTCCTCGTCATTTCTTCTCCAAAGTAACAGTGTATAAAAATTTGAAAGATAAAACAAAATATTAACCCAAACGAAAACCAAAAATATGCATTATCTACATTCACTCTAGTTAAATGAAATCCAGTAGAACATAACATTATAACAGTAAAAAAAAATTGAGTAAAAACCAAAACACCAAAAATGTCATTTAATTTCTTTTCCATTCTGAAATAAAACAATTTTTAACTAGAAAATTGAATAATAAAATAAAGATAGCACGTAATCTTGCATTAATCTTGCGCAAGTTTTGCAAGCTTGAAGGAATATAATATTAATGAATATTTTTCTTCGAAGTTTTTGTTGTTGCTTTTTTTAAAATCCTTAATAGGGTAAACCAGACAGTAGTCGGACACTTTTCAATTTTGAATAGCTATAAAACCGTATGAGATAAAAAAATTTTTTTTGTTATACTAATCATTTTTAAGGTCATCATAAACAAATCTAAGCTTTTGTAATTAAAAAAAAATTTTTTTTGTACGGTTTTTGAAGGTTTGTTTGAGTGGCCGATTACTGTTGTAAACTTACTTGTTTATTTGCAAATTTTTTTAACGAATAAGAAATTTTATTTTGTAAACATGATTGGTATAATAGTTTTGTAGGACCATCAGGAACAATCACACGTGGAAGAAATTTTGAAGAAATTTTAATTGCAATTTTTAAACAGTATTCATTAAAAAGATTTTCTTAAGTGGTCGACTACTGTCTGGTTTACCCTATCTCTAGAATACAAGTTTAAAATTTTATGACGAAATTTAGCTCCTATTAAAAGTTAAAAAATCTACGGTTTAATAGCTTATAATATTCTATGTTAAATGATATACAATTCAAAATTTTAGGAAATTATGCACAATCAACAAATTTGAAAAAAAATTAAATAATGAAAGTTTTTTTGACAATTTTTTAAACTCTGGCATATTTTTTAAAAATTGCAGATTTTTAAATCGGTTGCAGGGATTTTAATTTTTTATTTGTATACAGCAAGCTTAGCGCAATCTTTCTGCAAACATGACGTAATTTTACAAAGCTTTCTTGATATGATTGCCACAAGATTTCAGCAAGATTACCTGCTATCTTAGTAATTTTATACAACTGTGAAAATAATTACTTTTAATTAATTAAACTATATTAGTAACTGCAGTTACTACTAAACTATACAAAACTAGTTATAAACTACACTTACAAAAAAATACAAATATGATGATTTACACATTCTCTTATGATGTTACATTCTTGTTCATAGATATCTATTTTTTCATGAACATTGTCTTTTAAATTTGTAATTTGAAATAGACGTTTTATGAGAATTTCAAGTTGAGTATAAATTTGTTGCATAAAAATTACTAATATCGATTCAAATGAAGTGTACATAATTCCACCGTAAAAAACTGTTACGCATTCTTGTATATAAGTCATCCAAAATAATTTTTTTGAATTAATAGAATAAGGAAGCCATCTTCGAAATGGTAAAGAAAGTTTATTTCTATTTGTTAGTGGCCAAATTAAATAAATTATAGCAAGAGAGAAACTAGAAACCATAAATACACGTCCAATAAATCTGAAAAAGTAAAATAAATCTATGAGGGAATAAGAAGTAAAGACTAGATTTATTTTAATCAAATAACCGATTACATGAGTATTATCATTTAAATATTTACTTTAATCAAATAAT